TGGCATCCTTTCTTGAGGAAGACATCAAGTAATTTTTCAGCTTCAGATTTCAGAGTAGAATTCACTTGCAACTTATGGCCAGAAAAAGCACTATGCTCTCTTGTCTGAATGACTGGAAGGAGCAGTTTTACACACCTACCTACTCAGACTCAACAAGTTCTGCCTCAATACTGTTAATATACTTCAAAAGACTCTAGAGGTCCTTCAATAAATGGAGGAACGCAGTAGTTCATAGCAGGGTTTTTTTTCCAGTGCTTAATCACCTTTGGCATAAAACACTCACAGCATGTTTGCTACTCACATTTGAAAATCCTGAGTTTTTTCAGTCTTGCACCGTTTTCTTAGTATATTATGGAATCCTATATTACATTGTCTCATCTATATTACATTTCCTGCGAAGATCTCCCTGCAAGTTAGAAACCTTGATTCTGAAGTCTCTTGATCTGGAAGGCAGCCTCTCAGCCTCATACACCTTACTTTCAACTATCTGCCTTCAAGAGATCACTTTTTTTGAACAAAGATTGTTCATCCCATTTCCCCCACAGGCTATTATCACCTGGGTCAGCTGATGTTGAGGAGTGATAGAAGGATTTAGTTGTATCTAAGGTCATATGAATTCTGTGCCTGAACTACTAGGTATCAGCTGTCTACATCTTGTATGGTTGCTAACCAACACATCATGGGGAGCTGCACAAGAAGCTTAGATACTACCATTTTAAATCTAGTGTGTAATACTAACTTCACAATATCAAGGTTTGTCTCAGACACTGAGATTATTCTCACTGAAACAGCATCTAGTAGTGTTCAACAACCCATCAGACATTAAAATTAGATGCTAATTGCCAAATTTTTACTCCTGCCTTATTATTTATTACAGGTTCAAGAACCACAGAGGAAAAAAACTCCAGTTTTGTGCTCTAAGGTAGTAGCTGATAAAATGTGGCTCTATTTATCTTTTTACTTAGCACTAATTTTTATAAAACATGGAAACCCACTTGGTTATTCAAAACTCAGCAATATATAATTCTCCTATCTTTGAGGCAACTTTTGAAGAGCTATATTTAAGTATATAGCACACATCAGCAGGATTCAAAGGTACGAAAATAAAAGAATATAGTGATTACATACCCCACATTTACGTATTCACCTAAATTAAGCAGTTATCACAATGGGAGAGTGATTTACCACTCCAAGATTGACCAGTGTGCATCCAGACCAACACATTTCATAGCAATTGCAGATACAAACCAGTAAGTTATTCACTACATAAAGCAGACATTTATTTTCTCTTCTTAGCTTAGAAGAAACTGATTCAGGTTCACCAAGCACGGTCTCTGTATCAAACTGCAGTTTCAAATCAGTAAGACTGGTGTTACATCTGTCAGCAAATTCTACATGACTGCGTAGTTCAATAAGAATCTGACTAATAGATTGTGCCATCCTGTCTCAACAAAGGTTTTAGAGATCTCTCAGTAGGCCACCTTAATTGCAGCCACAAGCAATCTAGACATCTAATAAACTTGACATGACACAGATGATAAGAAGCTACATAAGCACAATGAGAACATCAGGATTTTGTTCTGGCTGTTCATAACCCCATCTGCCTTGTAGTGAAACCGTGTAAAATGCGTACTGCTACTGCAGTCCCGGGAGTCCTGGAAAAACAGAGCATCTTCACTGTTATTTCAATTTGTGGAGCCTATCATCTTCCACACAACCTAAAAATATATTTCTCATACTGCACCATTATCTTGTTTTTACCTGTCACAATCAAACAGACCTCACTCAAAAGAGCCAAAGATATCTCACACACTTTTACTAAATCTCAACTTTGGTGATTATTATTGTTAGTAGTAGTAATAACTCTGGTTACTCAGAGCTGGGCCATCCGTAAACCACAGTTGCACGAGACTGTGTCAGCAGTGTGCCCTGGCAGCCAGGAGGGCCCACCATGTCCTGGGCCAAACACAAAAAAACCAACTCATTCAGAGTTCAGATTACCGAAGAGAAAAAAACCGCAAATTTTAAAGAGACAGTTTCATATGAGGAGAGGAAGCAAGATAAAATGAAGTTCAGTATACCAGGATTAAAAAAACAAACCATGAAACTGGCAGGTGCTGTATCACTGAGCATAGACAAAAGTCCAACAAGATTGTGCATTATTAAGTGTTATTTAAAAGGAATCTTCATATGCTTATATTATACAAAATATAAATACAACTGAATTTCTACCTAGCCTTCTTCAAGGAGTAAATATATATCACCGTTTGCTGTGATTTCAGTATTTGATTTCAACATAATATCCAGCAACTTCTGCAAGTGTCCCCACATATACATATAACAGAAATCGGTATTATACCAAACATTCCATCAAGACAAAGTTCTGGAAGTTTCAGTGCAACTGAATTTTTATTTTCTTTCATCTGTGGAGTTTTAATTTAAGACATTAGGCAACCCACAGAAATCCAAACTTCTTGAGAACAGTTTTCAACCTTTTGAACTAAACACAACTGAAAAGATAAGAAACCACATATTGCCATAAGAATCTGTGCCGGTTTTGGCTGGGATAGAGTTAATTTTCTTCACAATAGCTGGTATGGGGCTGTGTTTTGGATTTGTGCTGAAAAAAAGGTTGATAATACAGGGATGTTTTCATTATCGCTGAGCAGTGCCAAAGGCCCTTTCTGCTCCTCACCCCACCCACCAGAGAGGAGGCTGGGAGTGCACAAGAAATTGGGAGGGGACACATCTGGGACAGCGACCCCAACTGACCAAAGGAATATTCCATACCATACGTTGTCATACTCGGCATATAAAGCTGGGGGGAAGAAGGAGGAGATATTCAGTGTGATGATGCTTGTCTTTCCAAGTCATTGTTGCATGTGATGGAGCCCTGCTTTCCCGGGGATAACTGAACACCTGCCTGCCCATGGGAAGTAGTGAATTATTTCCTTCTTCTGCTTTGCTTGTGCAGATTTTGTTTTACCTATTAAACTGTCTTTATCTCAACCAAGTGATATAAAAGTGGATTTTCTCACTCAACATACACCTGTTCTTAAATATATCCTCCTAGCATGTTTAAACAGAGTCCCATCTATCACTTGTGGACTACCCTATCTCACTGCAAAGTAGGTAAGAATTGTTACAAAGTAAAATTTCTAAAAAGAAACCGACCTTAAACTAACACTCTCCATCCCCTAAAAAACCCAAGCAACCATGCACACAAAATACAGAACCCTCAGGACCACATTATGTGTAGCTCTGCACATGTGCTCTGTGAGGATGAGCTCCTCTCACAGACTTTCAAAACAGAAAGCCATTGGATGTATAATCTCTGCTTCTTTCATTATCATGCTGGCCTTTCTCATCCTGGCACAACATTGAAGTCAGCAACAAAAAGGGCTAAACATTTCCTTTTCCTCCCTCCATAACAGGTTTTAATGGCACAGTCAAGTACTTTTACTCCAGTGCAACTCCTACATTTAATCACAAAAACCAGATAGTTGTGATTTATTCAACTACAATACAAATAAAATTTATATCTTGGTAAACTGTAATAAATCGTTGGTCACTGAAACCAACACCCCCAATTGTTTAGGGGGAGCAGGCTCTCCCAGAAGAAAAAAAATAGTGTCAGCCATTAAACTCCATTTCTAATTAATATTTCCCTTACTGATAAGCATATGTGAATAAAGACATTGACCTTAAAAAAAAAGGTGCTGATCTTTTTTTCCAGTAAAACCTCAAACTATTTTCTAAAAAATTATGTTGAGTTTAAAAAACAAAAATAAAAAAGTATTTCAAACCCCTCCATATCTCTATTGAGAGATACGTTGCTTTGAAACAATTACAAAAATGAAAATAATGTTGTGTTTTTCTGCAAGAATTAAGTTGTTAAATATCTGATTTGGCCAACAAACCCCCCAAACTAAGGAACTGCAATCTCATTTTAACCCCCATAACAATCCTGCCCCAAGCCATCTGATTCATCAGAAAGAGGTGGAATAGCAGTCCTCGAAGCAATACTCTATTTAAAACCATTTGTTACTGACAACTATTAATCAGCCAGATTTGCTTTCCAGTTTAATCTCTCAAATAGGAAGAATAAGAAGTGTCCTGTAGTACCCCTAGATCATCACACTAACTTTTGTATCACTTCTTACTTGCAGTTATAGTCGACAATGTACACCTCACCTACATCAATATCTTAACTCTGCTCTTCAGTCTATATACAACCCTCCATGACAGTGTTTCTTTGGGGTGGCACAAACTTTCCAGAATCACGACTACTGCTTTAAAGATGCAACTCATGATGTTTAACAGCTACAAATTATGCACTCAGCTGTTCCGGACAGAACAGTCATCTTTTTGGTAATACATATTATGATAACAGTTGTACCTTTAGCCCTGTTATGAATTATTGGTACATAATAACTAAAAAACAAAAAGCACCCCAAAACTCAAAAAAATGCACTTTCTCAGTTAGACCTGCCCCACTTTTTCTGGTAGAATGGAGTGCCTGCACTATGGCTTTCTGCTATTTTCTTCTCACTGACAATCAGATCCACCACCCATAAGCTGCTGACCATCCCATTTATTCTGTATTATGGTCCAGTACAAAATAAAAAGCTTCACTGTTCACTTGTAACGCAGACAGAAGTCTGTCTTCAGCATCTTCAACCTACTTTTACAGACAGGAGTAAAACCAACCTTAAAGAGAAGCATCTAAACCTTCTTTCAGTTTTCATATATGCTATCAGCTGCAGAGGCTGATCAGATCATGCTGTAAACTCTCCCAATTGTGTTATTTCCTCCTGGGTGAGCATGTGGTAACCTTGTATTTCTCATTGTATTTTCTTCTCAATCTTAAGTCATCACTCCTTAGAGTTGCTGAACAAAACATGCATGATTTCTAACTTTACACAGTAAAGACAGTCACTCAGCATGATCATTTCATCTTTCTCTGCCACACTACCAAAACAAGTGGTTCTTTATTTTACCTTTGGTTTTACACAATTTGAGTGCTTTAGAATTTGGATCCCTCGTTTTCAGCTCTAGAGCCATGCATTCATTTACAAGTGCATGAACTCACTCTTCCCAATCCTCTAACTTTCTTCCAGAAGACATCAATTTGTAATTCACATCTCCAAAGTCTCGAAGCAAAACAGCTACTCCTCCATTTATCACAAGAAAGCTGCATCTAAAACACAGAGAACACTACTTTGTATTTATATTTCCTTCAAAATATCACTAGTGACAGTCAGCAAATTGCTCAATCACTAACTCTAGCTGATCTGTCTCAGTCTCAAGTTGTTATCCTCTCATGAAGGATTCCAGTTTCAGGATGCTGGAACTGTCTGAAAACGCAAAAGCCAGCCACAGGATGAGCGTCCAGCTCTACTCAATCCCCCTCAAGAAAGAAATATCACTTACAGAACATCTCTGTTTTTATTATTGCATTCTTCCTGAGCAAAGCCATGTCTTCTAAAACATAAAGATAAACCGAATGGACTGAAGTTTTGCTTGGATAAGCAGAAGGCTTTTATTTTATTCTTTGCAAGCACAGTACCATAGTTATTTCAGAACTGAGCTGATTCACTTTAAATAAGCCAAGTTAAATGGTCACTAACAGCAAGTAAGCACACACGCATGTGCATACTGAGAAAAAAGGTATTATCTTAAAATACTTTGTGATTAAAAAGCAATTTTGATTTGCTACTTCTCCCCCGCGCCCCAGGCAGGACCAGGCGGCAGCAGGACCCTCCGTGGCACGGCGGGTGCGGGGCAGGAGCTCGGGAGTGCTCAGCCCCGGAGGCTCCGCGCACCCACCGCCCCGGCCTTCCCCCTGCCGGGCTCTCCCGGCTTCCCACCGCCCGCTCCCGCTCCGGAACGCGCCCGGGCCGAGGGCAGCCGCGCCCAGGGCTGCCGCCACCGCCGCCCCCGGCTCCCTCCGTGCCCAGCCCCGGGCGCAGCGCGGCAGCCCCGACCCCTCCGCCCCCTCAGCGCGGCCTCACCTTCCCTCCTGCTCTCTGCCATGGCCCCGCGGCCCCGCCGAGCCGCCCGCCCCGCCCCCCGCAGCCCCCGTCAGCCTTCCTTCCCGTTGGCTGCCGAGCCTGTCCGTCAGGGCATCGGCGCGGCGCCATTGGCGGAGGCTGCGTCGGGGCGTGCCAGCGCTGCGGGTGGCCCCGCCCCCTCTCGCCCGGCGCAATGCGCGCGGGCTCCGGCAGGGGGCGCGCGGCTGCGCAGAGCCGGCGGGGGCGCCCTTGCCGCGCGCGCGGGAGCGAGGGCGGGGGTGCGCGCGGGGCGCGCGGGTTGGGGGGGCGCGCGGGGAGCGGCGCGCGGCGGGCGGGCGGGCGGCGCGCGGCGGCCCCGGCGGGTGAGCGGCGCCGGGGGGACGCTGGGCGCGCGCCGCGGCTCCCGCTCCCGGCGCCTCCTCAGCCCCGACCCGCCGCAGCCCGCACCCGCCGCGTTAATAATGCACTAGAATGTCAGCGCTGAAAAAGGTAGGGAGGGAGGGGACGGGACGGGAAGGGAAGGGGCCGCCGTCGGGGCGGCGGGCGCGCCGGGCTCCCCGCGGGGCGCCTCCGCCCAGGCAGCGGCGGGAGCCGGGGGTGCGGGTGCCGCGGGTCCGCGCTGGCACCGCCACCGTCGGGCACGGGAGCCCGGGCGGCGGGGCGAGGGCGCGCCGGCCGCGCCGTCGGTGGGGCTGTCATCCCCCTCCCCGGTGCTTTCCGGCGACGCGCTGGCCGGGCGGGGGTCGCCGTGGCGGGTGGGGGTCTCGCGTCGGCACAGCCCAGGCAGAACGGCTGCGCGGCGGGGTGCCCGGAGTCGGAGCGGGGGGGACGGGGGAGGGACGGCGTACGGACCCTCCGTGCAGCCGGTCTGGCGAGGGGGGCGGCGGGACCGGGGATGCCGCCCGGGGAACCGCAGTACCGGCGGCGATTTAAATTTTGGCAGCGCAGGATCCTCGGGACTGCCCCGCGAGGAGGAGTCGGGCAGCCGGGGGTGCCGGCGGACCGCCGCCCGCACCGCTCCCCCCTGTCCTTTCCCGGCCGCCGCGCCGGGGAGGGTGCGGGTACGTCGGAGGGGCCGCGCTGCTCCTCCCGGTTTGTCCCAGTCCTCCGAGGTGCGTCCCGCCCGTTCCCCGCACGTCCGCCTCGCCGCGGTGCGGGGGGCTCGGCGCGGCTGGAGGAGCCCGCGGGCGCGCAGCCCGAGCGCAGGGGTGGGCGCCGGGCGCATCTGCCGCGCTGCCCTCGGTCACAGGGGCGATCGCCGGTGGCTCTCGCCGCGGGGAGGGCGGCGTTCGCGGGCAGGTTGGCTGAGCGTCTTCGCGGTCCTTTGAAACACCGTCTGCCGGAGAAATGAAACGATGACCCCGCATCATACGGGAGCGCAGCGAGCCCCAGCCCGCCTCGCCTCCCGGAGCGGAACTGGCAAAGCCGCCACCTCGGGCGGGCGGTCCCCGCCGGCCCGGCCCGGTGCGATGCGGTGGGGCCGGTGCGGGTCGGTCCTGGGGAGGGGAGCGGGGAGAGCCCTCCGGCCAGCAGGAAGTGCAGAAAAGGGGCTTTCTCTTACGGCCCCGCTTTCTGTCGCCTTCGTAACCTAGTTCCTGCCGCTGCTGGTGCCCCAGTTCTACCAGCGGTGCCAGTGCTGTACAGCTTGGCGTTTAGCCATAAATCCGTATATAAGTGCTTCGGCCTCAACTTCCCTCAAACTTATGAAGGTTTCTAATTTGCAGTGACAATCTATTGCTTGTTTCCGACTGTGCTTCTTTACGGCACAGGCTTACACAGGCTTAATGTGCCTTGGGAGCAGGTGATAGTTGAATCTCTTCCAAATTAAAGCCCTGAGAAGGTGACCAAGTGTTCCTGTCACTCTAGGTGGTGTGAGCCCAAGAACAAGGCTGTGAAACTCAAGTGCCCTTCTCAGTGCTGGAGTGTTTGGTGACTATTTCTCTCTGCTTCAGGGTAGCATCACAAGCGGAGCACTATTTTCAACACTAGATACCTCTAACCATTAAGTAGTAGATGACTGGAAGTGGGCATCCTGTGACAAGCAAGGGGCACCTCAATGTGACTGAGTGCAGATCCAAGTGCAGACGACAGAGAAATGTCGTGTGGGGTCTTAGTAACTGAATGCTTTTTACTCCGGGATGTGTCAAGGGAGTATACTGGTTGTACTGGACGTTTTAAAAAGCCACTCTGGGGTAGAGCAGGGGATGGTACTATTTTATAATGCAGATGTGTTTGAGGTATCATCAGCCTTTCATGTTTGTGACTAGTTGCATTTTCATCTTTGTGTTTTATCTGGAAAACAGGTAAAATAGGAAGAGAAGCAAGTTTTATATTTCTGTGCTTTCAGCAGTATAGCAATACTTTCAAGTCATTTCCAGATGGTTTGCACAAAACACCTTCTTTCAAAACTGCAAGTTTTAATTTTACTGTGTGTAGCTATTTTTACAGTGCCAACCAGATCTTATAATTTATATTTGAAAGGTTGTTCCCTCCCCCATCATTTTGCATGCTTTTCAAAATGTCTGGTATGTGGTTAAAATGGACTCAGACAATGTTTAATAGTTTTATGAATTATAGTGTTATGCATTGGAGATTTAATTCTGAGTGCTTTAGGCAGACCCTCTGTGATCTGACATAATATTCCTAAGTTAAAGAATGCATTTATTATGCCTTTGTTCAGTTACACATGAACTAAAAACTAGGATTATCAAATAAATTCATTGATTCTAATTTAGATTATTTTTAGCTTTTTGTTTTAGTACTATAAATTGCTATTTGCATTTAGTTACTCATATATCTAGTTTGCACTAGAACAGTATAGGGCATACTTCTTTATTAACTTTTTAGAATTTCTAGTCCCTCTGAAATGAATTCAAATTTCTGGTGCAAGTTGAAGTTACACTTAGAGTGAAGTCATAAGTCCTTTAAACTAGCATTAAACAACCAGGAAACATAGACTGCTCTTGACAGAGGTGTTGAGGAGACTGTGTTTTGTCCATGTACCACATAAAACCACACAGTCAAATCCAAGACAAATCCAGGGTAATGTTCCTAATGACTTAATGGGATCGGGATTTCACATTTGTGTAGGTCAAAGTCCCACCAGTATTAATGGTGATACTGTTGGCAAGACCAAGCTGTTGAAACAAAACATTACCAAAGCAAGACAAAAATGTCAAGGTCTATTATGGCAAACTAGAAATTATATTCTAAATGAATTTCAGTATATGAAGCAAGTTACTTCAATAGTAATTGGTAGATGTGATGGGATAAATGTATCCCTGAATACAAAATTCATACCTGATCCTGAGGAAAGCTTGGATATTCAGGTTCCACTGTGACTCACTGCCAGGCAGCGTCCTGCCCAGGGAGTACCCCCTGCAAGCTCTCCTGAACATTGCGTGTCCTGGTCCAGTCAGCATGTCACAGTTACAAAAGGGTTCTAATAGCAGATGTTCTAATAGGAAATATTCATAGACGCAGTCTGGATGACTGAATTTCAGCTTGATTGTGAGCTTTGCCTGTCTAAATTACAGACAATGGAGTAATTATTGGAATACTTTTTGTATGCCTTAACAAAGATGGTAAAATGTTATTTTACACGTACCTTTGGCAAGAACTTTTTTCCTATTTGTAATTACACATAGTCAAAGCAATTTTCTTGTATATCTATGATAATCTATGAGAAGTTTTAGTAGTAAAAAGAACATAACCCCTAAAATAACGCCCCGTTTTTTTATGAGGTATACCTTTGGGGACCCTTTGAATCTGCAACAAAGAAAAACAGCTGCTTCGGTTCTAATCCATGAACAAGACAAGTCTTATTTGCTGCTGCAGTTAATCAGTACAGTGAATTTGTTTATCTAACCATGCATGGTGAACAAGAGGACCACTAATGCAGAAAGTTAGTGTTAGTCTATCAAGACTTTCAGTTCTTAGAAATGTGTTATATGGGCTTCATATAAAATCTTGTTGATTTGAAAATGTTCTGTTTGCTAAATGGGTAGTTTTGTTTTTATAGCTACAGTAAAAAAATTATATACATATTAGTTCAGTTTGCCTTGAGAAAATTCATAGTCATCCACGAACCATATGGCTTTCTTACCTCTAGTAAAGAAATAGCTCTTTGCATGGCAGATACAGTATGTCAACAGCTATAATCAAATATAAGTAGCAGTGGGCATGGATGAATCAGAATCTGTTTTAAAGCAGACCTGTTGGAGACCACAACTTCTCATATTTCAGTCCGTATATATCTCCATTATAGAATTATATTTCCCGGAACAGATTATAGTTCACCACATCTACTTTCTGTTGGAGAGGCCAAAATGATTCATTAAAGTAAAATAACTACTCTTCCCATGATATTTATTTAGGAAATGTCAAGTAGCAGTTTATTCATTTAGTACATGCTCAGTTATGATGAGAGGATGGAAATGATTGCAGTTAGATTTCTCAATCAGTGTTTCCACACATGCATATATATTTGGTCTCACTTTGCTTTTATCTGTTTCTTACTGTACTTTCTTAAATACTTCTTTTGTGCATAAAATTTACTTATCTTCCATGCATTTTCATTCCACATTTGTCACATTTCTCTGTCCTTGCTAGTTTTGAAAATGATCAGCAAATAGCTTCCAATATGGCATTGGCCTTAAGCCCTCTAAATTTTTTTCTGGTTCTATAAGTATGTATTCTTATGATCTAAAAAGACTTTCCACTTTTGATAGTAAAAATACATCAGCAGTTAGCAGACATACATGAGGTATACCACGGATGAAGACTTTCATCTCACAAAGGGAATCAGTGTCTGTTATCTTCAGTAGATGCTGCAACCACTGTGTGTAGATAAAGTAGATAAACTGACAGTAATGGAACATGTCAAAAATATGACCAAATACATACATAAATCCAATAAGACAGAAATCAGTAGTTTAGAGATTCAGACTGTACATATGCACAAATAGCAGAAAGAGCTAAAGCATAAACCAGGGCTTTCTATATCTCCCTGTCTTGGGTCCTTCATAGCTGCTTCTTCTCCACTCAAAATCCTTCCACCACTCTCAATTTTGCATCTTCCATCTTAAATATTCTCTTTAAAAAGTGAATTTGTTATGTCAGAGGAAAGAAGAACATCTTAGGGTTGTCAGATTGACCTGAGCTCAGTCTCAACACAAAAAGTTCTTGCAAGTCAAAGTTTATTCTAGGAAATGTAAAATCTTAATAATGATGTTGAAAGCAGTTAGGAAAGTGTAAAACTAAGACACACAAAGTTAGGGAGAAATTGAACACCACTCTTGTGTAGTGGTCATTTAAGGTGTTTCTGATACATATTTCATCTTGGAAGCTGAGAGGCTGCTCAAGCAGTGTTCAGCCTCTGAAGTGCTGCCTTTCAGAAGGAACAGCTCCTCTGCATTGCCCTGGAGGGGCAGCAGGTCAGTACTGAGAATAACAATTCAAAATATTTTTTATTATCTTTCTTCTTTAATTTAGGGGATACTGTATTTTCAATAATCCCTAAGGTGTGGGGAGAATGCAAATTAATTGTTTAAGCTTGTCCAGAATCTAATTTCCCTTAGCATGCCAGGTTTTTCTAATGCATTGATTTCCTACATGAAATTTATTTTTCTGCACTGGAGGTCAACTACATTAGTTTCCTCTGATTCTTTGCTTCTTGACAGTATGACTTGTAATGTGAAACTTTTAAATACCTTAATAATGTTATGCAAATTAGATACCATAAGATATCTCCAAAGTCTCCAGCAATTCTCCTTCTTTCGTAACTGGATAGACTGGTGACTTTTCATAGAAAACATACAAGATATTATTAATGATGCGGATAATCAACTTAGCCTTAGCCTTAAAGGAAACTTCGTCCAAACCATTTCACTCTTTTGTGTCATTTTTAGAGCTCGTGCAGCTGCAGAAATATAGAAGAAGGCTATTGTATTATTCTGTGCTTTATTGGCAATGAGGAGTAGAACGAACTTCCCAGCTTTCACACCTGCCTTCCAGTTTCACAAGTAGCCTATAAAAATAACCTGAACAAATCGCTTCAATTGCCACAAGTGGGAGGTTATTTTTTAACCTCTTTTTTCCCCCCCCTGAATGGCAGACAGTAGTGAGAGAATCTCAAGTAGTTACTACTCCTTTTATTTCTTATAAGGATAAAACCCAGAGGATCTTCCACCTTCACTTCCTTATTGATTTACGACTTAATGAGTCATTGGGATGTAAAGCTACAGAGCATAAACGCTCTTATCCTATCGAATTTGTCTAAACAGAGTCCAAGTAAGATAAAAGACAACACTTTTGCTTCATTCATGCAGAGTGAAAGTCTTTCCAAAGAGCATCAGTGTAAGGCGACCTTTATCCTCTGTGCAACAGCAGATTTCACTTAAATGAACAAATATATTCTTTAGTTTTAGAGTTTGATAACAATTATCTTCCCTGATGAGCAGAAAGGAGGACAAAGCTTGCTTTTATTCCTTTGATTTACTTCCCTTGATAGTGCAGCCTTTCAAATCCTGCGTAGTTGAAGCTACAAGAAGAATCTGGGCCTTTTTTTGATGCTAGAAAAGGAAATGAAAAAGCACAACCAAGTGTCTTGAAGAGTGTGTCTGTCTGAATTCTTTTTCATACCTTTAACCAGGCTTCCTCATGATAATGCAACGTAGAGGTAATAATATGTAGACTTAATAATGTTAATTTTTTTTTAATTGGGCTGTGAAAACCATCACAGCAAGAAGATGTTGTGTATCAGTAAGAACTATTAATATCCTCTAGCTGGGAGGACGATGGGCTCCCATTCGTAAGAATGACATGAACTTCACCTTCCCTCTGGAGGAGACTTCAAGCCCTTCTGATGTTTCCAGCCCTTTCTGGCTGCAGGACATGAAACTGATCTTTTCTTTGATGGCAACTTGTGGCTTTGTTATGCAGCATCTGGCCTGGTTTTTGGCTATTTTGGGATTATCCATGCCATAATGTTTTACTTAAAGGTAAGAAATTAAAAAAATATGATTAAGTGTTCCTGTTATGCATTTTATGCAGATAATTTCATTTTTATTTGAGTCCGAGGTTTTGATCTCACTCATTTGAGGGTATGTTTACAAATAGTGTCATTTAGGAATAGCTACTATTTATACCACAAATGTCCAAAATTATTTTTCAGAGCTAGATAACTTACTGGATCTAAGAGAATACCTTCAATATTTAAGAGAATAATTTTAAAATAACTATAATGATTTTTTTTCTTAGTAGCTTAGCAGTAATTTAAATTTATTATTTTCCTTTCTGCAATCCAAATGGATAAACAGGATTGCTGGGTTTTTTCCCCTCAGTTTTAGTAGATTGAGAAATCAAAATGTTACACATAGGCTAGGCATAGCTCCTTCACAAGACAGTTTATTTAAACTGCAATTTACTACAGTTTGTAGACCAGAGCAATTTTGTCACAAGGTCCTGCAGTTTATCGAATTATATGCAGAAAAGGCTGCAAATATGAAAATGCAGCATTACTTTTGCTTTCAGTCCTGAAATACATTGAATTCTTAGAGTCTCCCATGTCCATCCATGTCAGCTTTTATTCATTATGCAAGAGGTGAGTATAGCAAGTGAAGTATTTCAAAAGAAATTATTTTTATGAAGTTGAAAAGGGATGTAATTAGTTATGATATTGTGTAGTGGTAGATAATTTGATAACAGTTTTCTTAAATGGTAATTTGTAATGTACTACTCAAAAATCTTAACATAAATGACACTTCTAAAGGCAAAAACTTGTCTCTTAGTTTTCAGCCTCATTCCTCCTTTAGTAAAGTGATGCATTCTTATATTGTGCTGACCTTTCTCACAAAAACTTGAACTATCTACACTGCAAGGTTTCAACTATAATGAGATATAGAAAGTTATGTATTACTTTATGAATTCAAAGGCACATAGTGACCTTTGAAAATAAGGAAATAGATGACCAAAGTATTACAATAGATCTAAATAGTTAAATTAATTATTTTGAAGTTATGTTATTTTTCTTTTCAAATTCAGAACTGATAGATTAATTTTGGATGTGTACCAGAGTTTTTCTCTTTCTCCCCTCTATAAATGTTTCTCTACAGCTAAAATAACTTGTTAAAGGTTAGGGAAATAAGTCAAACTATTCTTATGACCACCAATAAAATACCTCTTATAGTAATGTGTGTTCATTCTTGAGGTCATTTATAGTGCAGTTAATGTTCTTTTATATTGTTTCATTTTGAGTTATCTTTTTTATGTACATTTTTTTCTTAATTATTGTATTTCAAAATACCTTTTTTCTTTATGGTGCTTTTTGATACTGTGTATTCCTTAGTAAATGTCTCATCTGATTTATTAATATTTTTAACATGTACTGTGCTTATGATTTAGAGCAGGGTGGAAGTCATTCCAATGCTCTTTGTCATGGATAAGTTATGCAGCACACTTCCTTTGCTAACCAGTGTCGGGTTTCTGATCAATTCCCTGGGATACTTCGATTTCTTTTTACTTTCTAAAATTGCTGTTCTAAAAATGATGCAGAAAAAGCAAAATATGAAGCTGAGAAGCGCAGTGTATGCCAGGCTGTCGTGGGTTTGACACAGGCTGTAGAATAATGCTTTGATCAATAAAGCAGAAAAGTTTTTCCTATATAACTAACACATTCAGATGGCATTCTCATTCAAGAGCTTTCCTGGCATCTGTTTGTGAGTAACCTTCTATTTAGTTGCACTCCCAAGTAATGTAATAAATTTTATTTTTCTTTTAATATTTCTAGAAAGATAACAAATGCCTTTTCCAGACTTCCTTTAATAAAATATTTTCTCTGCATTAATTAAATTCTTTAAACTGCATTCCATTTTTTTAAAATCTTTGTGATATGCTTCCTAACTTGATGGAATCTTGTTTAAAATGTTCTGACAAACGTCCATTTGTTACTTCACAGCATGTACATGGACACTGAAACTTAACAAACTAGTGTGATGCCTGAGAATCACAAGAATGTGTGAAGCCTTACGTTCTGGTTACAGCCTGGAAATGAAATGTAACATTTTGCTTCACTGCTTGAATAATCAGTGCTCTAGGTACAGCTTGCTGTGTTAACATTTGTGTTTTCCTGCAATTCATAACACAGTCTATCAGCTGAAGAGTGAGCAGACACAGGAGCAAGCCCAGGTTAACATTGGAAAAAAGGGAGAGTGTTGTGGAGGGGTTTAGGGAAGCATGTGATACTGCTTGGCACCAGAAGAAAAGGAGACAAATAATCAGGGATATAGATGCAAGTGTCTGAATATAACAGTGAAGAGATCCTAATGGGGCAGTACGGGGGATGACTATTTTGGTTGTCTCGTTCCAGTTACATGGAAGAGGCAGGAACAAGCTGCATAACATCTCTTTCCTGAGGCATCATGCACATTTTGTGAACTGCATCATGCAAGATTAACAGGCTTAAATGTTTTCATATGTACAAGATAAAATTGCACAGACTATAGATAAACAGACATCAGCATTGAATAATGCATCTCGATATGTAAAAATGTGTAGAAGGGGCTCAGCTGATACGAGGTAGCTGCCAGGCTCTGTTTGTACTGTTCTTTGCTTGGAAAAAAGATTGCCCACAAAATAGGGTAACTTATAATAAAAAAAACAAGAAGATGTTTACTGCAAGAAAAAAATACTAATTTCAGTTGCATAATTCCACATAATTATGAATAAAATTTGCCTCTCTTTTTCAACATCTTTCATGCGGCTGGTCCAAGTTACCATAAAGAAATATCTTAATCGTTATTACACTGAAATTTGCCACAAAAGCTGTGTTCCTTTTGACCAATGGAATAAATTTTTCTTATGTTTCTGATTTTAGAGCACAAGAAGCAAAGTATTCTTGGCAGCCAGGCTCTTCCTGTGTGAATTCGCTTCTGAAAGACATCAATGTGATCATTAGTCTTGCTGCTTTCTTTTTTTTTTGAGCAAAACATAAAAACTTGCAGCCTTGTCCACCCTTTGTAAATATGTCCAGCTTTTGTAATCACTACCACTGGTGAAATATCATCTGAAAGATTTGCAAGAACTACAGAAATAAACAACAATGTATATGCATGGAAGATGTCTCCATTAGGAAGGAATGATGGGTATACTGAAATATTTTTCCATAAAAACTTCTCAGTGCATTTCCTTTAAAACTGTATCCATGAAAATTTACTTGAACTGTCCAGTACTACTGTTTCTTTGGCTGTGGTTATTAATCCTGTGTAGTTTGATCTAGAGGATTTCCTGATATTCTTTTTAATTGATTGATTTTTCATGTATTGTTTTAACACAAATCTGTTTCAACCTATATACCTTCTAGAAAAATTGATTGTATATATAAACAACAACTTGTGATTACACTCAAGCATTTATATATGTTCCACAAAGGAGAATGGAGAAAGAGGTAAGATTGCAGACCAAACAGTAACTTTTCAACATCTTTAGTATCCTTAGATTTCACAGAAATTTTAAGAGTAATTTAAATATTTCCACTGGAAAAAAAAAAAAAGCTAAAAGAAGTGATTAAAGTATAATAAAACAAAAAAAGTAGAAAGTCAGAAGATAATATAGAATTTATGATACTGAGCAATAGTGAATTAGTATTCATATAGTCATTATGAAAATGACACTAATTGCCTGTGTGCAAATTTAAGCTGTTAGTTGCTCAGACTTCAGCTTATTTGTATCTAGGTTTCACAAATTAGTGTATTTCCTGGTGAAAAGCAGCCATCTGATATATTGGAAATGTTTTAATTCATCTGTTTGGGTTATGGTTGATCAAGAAAGGCTTTGCTACTGAACTCAGACCCAGTTTTTAGGTGCCAGCTGGTAAAGCCATCCCTAAGCACACACCTTGCTGTAAGCAGGGGTTTAGGTTTTAGCATCACATTTTCAGTTCTTTTCACTGTAGCCTTCCACAGAAGGAAGGCTTAAATGTATTAACTCTTTGAGCAAAATGTGCTTAAAAAAAAAGAAATCACCCAATTTTGAAAGAGCTAGTATGGCCATTTTCAAGTCTCAAAGATCAAAAACTGCCTACAAGAAAAACTGTATTTTTGGCTTCTCTGTGTTGTTTATGAGCAAATAATCCATGTTCCAATTTTTTTTGTAATGGAAAACTAGAAAACAACATTTTCTTTCTGTTCTTGCTTCTGTCAGAAAAGTAGCCAAATGCCCCAGGATACTGGGCTGGGACATATGCTTTACTGATGGCTGAAGAGAGAGCATCACCAAGTTATTTTCCCCAGATTTTGCCGTCCCCTTTGTTTGACAGTCTCCCCTTCCATCAGTGACCACTGGAGGTGTGCCAGGTGCCTGAGACCAACAGAACATCCCATGGGATGCCATAGCAGCACTTGCCCTGCCTCTGAATTGCTGGTGAACATTATCTCCTTTGGGGCTTGTGGCCAACTGTAAATTACCTGCAAGAGGGCAAATCCATTTTTCTGTGATGTCATTGAGTTGTCCATCTCTCTGAACTTGCTGTGAGCTGCTGCAGTCACTGGCATGATGGGAATTACTGGAGTATTTTGGACCATTCCTCTGCTGGCATCAGAGAAACCTGAAGGATGTGCCTGGAAGGGAAGGGGCACTTGAAGATCTCTGCCTTCTCCATCCAAGATGATGTCTTCAGGCCATAGTAATGCTGAGCAGCATATCACATTTTGCTATCAAATCACAATTACAAGCTTGAAGGCTTGTCCCCATGGCTGGGACACTGACCTCCCTGCAGGTTGCAGCGTTTGGGAAAAGCGCAGTCAGCAATCCTCTCTGCTCCTCTCCAGTAAAGACCGAGAAGGGGGACAGATTTAGTGTTTGTCCTGAACAGGGCTGCATGTGCTTTTCCATCATTTTTAGAAATTTCCTTTGGAAGAGCTGACAGTGCATGATCTATTTTAAATATGCTTCAGAAGATAAAATTATTTCTGGTCTAAGTGAAATCAATAAGCAGTTTTAAATATAAGATATGGTTTAAATAAGCTAAAAAATATCCAGTGACCCTCTGTATATATTGGATGTGTCAGGCCTGCTATGACAACCTTTATTAGCTAATTAATAGCCCCTTACTAAGCAGCTTACTAAAACCAACAAACCTCACTCTGAAGTCCTTCAAAGGCATGAGTAGTAAAGGTGCAGGTGTGGTGTTGCCTGCTTTATCCTGGGGTACCTGTTCCTCAAAGTCCTGGACCTTGTTCTCTCTGGCTTCTCCTTGTGTGCATCAGGAAGTTTTCCCAAGGCTGGTCTGTGTAGCCCATCACAAAGTCAGGTGCTGGTAAATCCCAGTTTACAACTTCCTCGTCTGTGCTGTTACAAACTCCTCTGTCCTGGCACTGCACGCCTGAGCTCCACACTGAGGTGTATAAAGTGACACTCCTGCTTTGCCTTGTGGAAATCACCCTTCCTCTGTCCCTGCTCTCACAGTCAAAGCTCTCAGAGTGGATTGGATGTTCCAAACAGAGAAGCATTCTTAAGTTCCTTATAAAAATTAATGTAGCTCTCCCATGCTAGCATTTTCCCCCTTAGTGCCCTCTCTTGGCTGTCTTCTTGCCTACCATTATAATTCTGATGTTGGTACTTTCATTTGCTATATTGCATATTTTCTGAAATAAATAAGAACATTGCTTACATTTGTGAATAATACTGGTCCCATATGTATGCTACTGGGAACTGTTGCCTAGCAAATTCTGTGACTCCTGATAAAATATGTTAGTTCCTTTTCATAACTTACACTTGTTATTTCTCACAGTATTTGATATATTTTACATGCTTTTGTGATCCTGACTTTAAAGGAAAGTGAAGTGGTAGTCAGGTGGACTCATGTACTCAGCTCTTTCTTTGAGACTTTTGTTTCTAGATATGAGGTTAAACTCATTAAATGTGCACATTGTAGCTGCCTCTATTGGGGCAGTAACTAGTGGTTACTGGAATTTCTTGGTTCCCTTGATGTGGTGAGTGGAGTGGAGTGGTGTGGACAGCCCTAAGGGGTGATGCAGTCTTGCCTTAAGGCAGGTTAGCTGCATCACACCTGGGAAGTGCTGCTTTTTTCAACACCAGAGCCTGGGATGACTGGCTCAGATGTGGATTTCTATCATAAAGGATGTATATCCAGGTATGGTGAATTCTGTCAGGGAAATCTGCAGGTAGCCTCCTTTTTCATACAGTCCAGTAGAATTTTGTTATACTGTTAAACAGGTCTTTGAAGAATGAACCTGTTGATTGTAGTTTCTCACTCTTGCTAAAGATGCTTTTAAAATAAGCATTTGTGCATAAATACATCAGAAATAACTGATTTTTTATTAATGTAAGGCTGCAATTGAACCATCTATTCTCATACCTTGAGTTCTGCAGAAGGTTAAAAATTGTATCATAACACTGAATGAACTTTGAGTTGTATGTCCTGTCTCATGCACACTTTTTTTTTTCATAGCAGAAGAAGTCTGATTTAGCTGCACACAGGAGAAAGTCTTTTCTCTCTCTTTTTTTTTCTATTTTTTTTTATTTAAATCAATAGAGACATTTTTTACCAGATCTTCTGAAATACTTACTGATTCTATTCCTTGCTCAGCAACAGATTAAGAAAAAGGCTGGTTTCAAGCCTAATTGAAACATTCCAATAATAGCATTTGTTGTTAATGAATCTATTTCTTATGAGTACATGACATGCTCCTTCTTTCTTGTGATAGAAGCTTTAAATGTTAGTAGCCAGGAAGTGCCAGCATTTGATTGCTGCCTGTACTTAAGTACATAAAAATATCAGAGGCATAAAATATTTTGGCATAAAAAAATCCCCAAATGGGTAGAGAAATAGGGTGCAGTTAAGGAGTATAAGTCAGAGGCAGAAGTGTCTGCTTGGAATACTTGATATAGCCTTTGCTTCAGGTATTGCTAAGGGAAGTTTAGCAGTCCCATAAGAAATGTGTTGGTGTTCCCTCACCTACGTTCAAGCTACGTTTGAACTGGGAGCTTTGATCTCTAAGTTGGTCCTTGTTACATGAAGATTTACCATTTCCAGATAATTGTGGTGCTGGTTTCAAGATGCTAAAAAGTGGAAGGTCCCACAGTGACATGGTAATGCTGGCTCCATCCATAGTGTTCTTGGAATGGATGTGTCCTCTATTTTCTTGGCTCATCTGCTGTCGGTTTCTGGAGTGGCAACACTGTACTGTGCTGCATTTAACTTATCCCAGAGTTAAAATAACAAAACAAATAAAATGTGACAAAATCTTTTAGAAGAACAATTGTTGTGCATTTTATTCCGGATGAACTTCTTGAGAGTTAAATCTGCTGCTGACCATTAAAGAGAAAATTGCCATTACAACTGGATATTTAGTTAAATTTATACTTCCATAATTCTGTTAGCGTAAAAGGGATAAGTTGTCAGTATACATTATGCACATCATTATACACATACCCATTATCTTTGTCAGTAGCAGATATATCTGACAAATTTCAATGTTTTTAAAAATTATTTTAAATAAATGAAGCTGTTATTGCTGGGGTTTAAAAGGTGTAAAGCTCTGTTTTACCAAGCTGCACACATAGCTATTTTTAGAAGTGATAACAAAGTTTCTCTCAAACTGAGTCAATGTTAATAGGTTTCAATTGAGAAAGCTTGGAATGATTCAGAGTAAGACTTCAATTTCTTTATATGTAAAAGTAAAAAAAAAAAATATGCAAAAAATTCTATAATTGGTTACTTGTAATACCTAAAAAAAGCCTTAATAGATATTGGCATTGCTCCATATGAAACTTCTCTAAGTCATCCTAGTCCTACTGAGTTCAGCATCCTAAATAGGCATATGTTCATGCATTAAATAAACAGCTCCTCTGTTGTCCTTTAAGCATGAAATCAAATCATGGTTCTTTAGTCCAACTTTTGTGGTTCTTTATTCTAAAGACTTTACAATGGATCTCTAAATACTTTTATTATTAGAAATTAGGCATTTTTTGTTCCTCCAAAGAGCCTGTATGCTTTGTGTTTGAGCTGCATGGGTAGGTTATATTTTTTGTGTCCAACTTACTTCTAAAGTGTTTTCTGTTGCTTTAGATTATTGAATAGTTAACTTAGCCTATTTCTGCAGGGCACCAAGGAAAAAGAAGAGAACTGTTCAATACAGATATGGCTATTCTCCCTCTACTCCTCATCAACGCTGTTCTTATAATTTGTATTTTAATACTGTGCAGACATGTAAAACATTCACAATTTTTATTCATAAAATAGGAGAAAGAAGTAATTTATAAATTACCTATACATGGATGTCTTGCATATCTATCAATCATGTTTAAGCATAGATAAATATTAGTTTGTAGGGAAGAAGGCTGTAAACTTTTTTCATCTGTACATTGGTAGCCTGTGTGCATTGTTACCATTCAGGCAGCAAATTCTTTGGTTAAAATGTTTCACTGCACTTCTGTATAAAGCTTGTATGCAAGGTGTGTTGGTGTTTTCAACCAAGCTGTTAAACACCACTGCCAACTGGGGGTGTAAGCATCCCTGTCTTTGCTTCTATCAGACTTCTTTTCACTTCTCTGTAAGCTTAAGGGGTTAATTAAAAAAAATTGCATTCTTTATGACCTATTGCTTAATCAGCTCTACAGTCTAGCTACAAACTCTTAGTTTATGTCAGAATCTAAAGATGATATTCAGTTTGAGATTAAGATACCTAAATGTAATTTTCTGCCTTCACTCAGACATTTAATGCCTTTTCAGAAGCCCTTATTTATTCCATGTCACTCTCAGCTACTGCACTAAAGGATGCCAGTCCTTCTTAGGTCCTCTGTAATATCTCCCAATGTCAGCAGAGCTCTGAGTAAATAGGCGGCCCCAGAAGTCGGAGGGGGAGGCATTATAACAATAACTATTATTATTATTATTATTATTATTATTATTAACACAGTCACCTGTATTTATGCACTGCCTAAATCCCTACATGTCTAAGATCCCACTATAGTGCGTGAAGATTAATCAGTACAGCTGTGGCAACTGAGAAAAGTCAGATGAACAGCCTCTATGTGTACAGTAAACTTATGCTTCCTGTGGTGTTTCAGATGCTTTAAGTTATCTGAGACACCTGCATGGGATAGAATGTACACCCTCTGCAGAGGGTGTATGTTCTTTAGAAATGGCAAGTGGAGGTTAGACATGGTATGTGAGAGCACCGGCAGTGACATGGGGCACTGGTATGTGAGCAACTGAATTGAGTCTCCAAGTATCATCATAGGCACCACTGACTGTACTAGAGCCGTAGGCACTTCTATAGCTCTAGACATCAGAATTTGGGCATTGTAGATCTGTGAGCTGAATTCTGCCTTGCTGAGAACCTGGATATTAATTTATCATAATTTTGTTGTTTGGCTACTTGCCTGTGGTACCTCAATACTTCATTGTCATGTGTGTATGAGAAATTACTTGTCCATCAACTAAAGAGTCTCGTTCCCCTATACTAACATTCTCTGCTCTCTGGCCTTTAAGTCTCATAGTCAAGACTTTGACTTAAAATCCAAACAATACCCTACTTGGTACATCTTCTGTGCCTGATTAAACCTTTGAACAGTCATCGCTAATTTTAATGAACCAACATCTGAGTACCTCAGACTATGGTTATGTCTACAAGCTCTTCACTGAGTCCTTTATTGACCTCCTATTACCAAAACATCACTTCGGTTTTATGAAGTTCAAACTCTTCAAGTGTGGAAATCTGAAGTTTTTAGCAATCTTTCCTTCAGACTACATCTATGCAGCATGAACAGAAGTCAGGGCTGAAGTCAAACTATGTAATAATCACAGTAACAGGATCTCACAATTCTGGATCATCAGAGGTTTTAAATGTCTTTTGGAAGTATTAACATCACAACAGAGTGAAGTGTGTGTGTATTATTAGCTTGTGCCCAATGTTTGTGAGGATGAGTACTGAATAAAAAAGAAGCTATGAACCCTGGGAAAATCATTTATATTGCTAACTTCTCTCAGGTGGATAGCAGTGCTTCTGTATTCAGGGGGAGCTGAGAGGCAATGCTAGCTGGGAAGGGTATTGCTATCTAAAATGGCAAGTGTAGGGGTGTTTTTACAGCCAAATATAATGTGAATAGGGATTCAGTACACACTTCTTATTTGCATTTATCACAATGTGTGGAATTCATACAGTGCAGATGTCTCCATCTGAGCTTGTTGCCCTTGCATTTCTTTATAGTCAGTGGAGGTCTAGTCAGTGTAAAGTGTAATTAATCTCATTCTGAAGTAGGTGTCTGAATAGAACAGAATGACTGCAAAGGGTGCATGGGGTGACTAGTTCAGATGGAGGAGAACTGAATCTCATCCTACCTGTTCCGTGGGCAAAACTATGATTTTGCCTTTAAAAATATATATTTAACTTTACTGAGCCACAGTTAACATACCAGATGTAGAAGTGTCTCAGAATAAGTCTGTTCTAAGCATTTACGACAGATTGCCATACCAGAATTTTTATTTAATTAAAAATACCAAATAATTATTTCCTCGTTTTACAGAAACACAAGGCCAGTACCCATTATTTGTCTGTGTGGGTCGTCTGGAGCAGAAAGCAAGGCAATGAGTAAAGTTTCATAGTGGAGGACTGAGGAAATTTTCTAGGACTTCTTAATTTTAGGACTTCCTAATTT